TTTTTTTTAAAAAAAAAGTTATCAAGCTCTTAAAAAATCACCCGTTACATATGTATGTAGATATATGTATAGGTAGGTACGCACGCATTCGAAACCTGTGTGCATTTCATTTCCAGTGCATTTACGTACACGATTCCTGAAAACCCACACGCATGCGCAATGCAAAACTACAAATAAAACACTCAACGAAGAAGATCTTAGGCTGCAGATTGTCGTTAGCATACATGCTTCATACATATTTAATTTGTATACATATACCATGTACCTAAGTACGCATATACATACATATTTTTTATGCAAGTAAATCTTCAAGAAAGTACTTCTTAAGTGCAGAGACATGCAATTGATGTTGGTTTTGTTTTTTTCTTTATCATTTGTAGTCTCAGGCAGACAAGCTCATTTCCAACGCATTACAGAATCGTACCTAAAATATTCGTACACACATAAGTTCTGGTAACTTTCTAATAAAAGTAAAAATATAGAGGACCGAGAAAGGACTGTTAAAAAATGGGTATTTCAAAATTGGAACATAACCGCAGATTCACAATGAATACCGTGATAAAAAAATGCCTGCTACGAGAAGGAATTTCATTGCGATTTACAATAGAAATTATCCAGGCGACGAATCAAAGATTTATTAAAAACAAAAATCGCTTGGAAAAACATCTTTATGTACTGATAGTTTTTTAACAAATTAAACTACGTACAAAGAGTAAGTCAGGTGGAGAACGACACTTGGTTGCACTCCCCTGTGGTGCATGGGGTTACTCTAAATGAGCTGTATGTATGTAGTTAGTGCGAGTACCAGGCAACTGCATCGCAGATGAATTGGCAAGGCAGGAGTGCATCTTTTCAATGCGCGTATTCCACATTTATGCTGAAAATTCTGGCTGGAATATATATGTAGCTTTATCTATTAGGTGAATAGAGGATGCTCCGAATATCCTATGCGCTGGATAGCACGTTACAACTGGCCTAAATTATAAAGTTAAGAGAAGATTTAGTTGTGAACTGGAGCGACCTCTGTTTCGACGTGTAATCGTGGTTATTAGTGACCCAATGCTGGCATGCGGTTGAAGGACTTCTGTCGTAGCTGCCGCGATGTAGAGAAAATCGAGAGCTCTCTACTCTCCTATCTATGAGTTTTTGATTTTCAATAGAACGACGGGTAGGGTTTACTTTTAAACGATTTGATAATTCCAGTAGTCGTTGTAAGATAAAGGGATTCAGAGTATGATCTCCCGCCTTACACTAATCGTCTAAAGCTCATTAATTTAATTAAACGACTCATTCCTTTGTTAATGTCAAGATCGGACTAGATTTTGACTATAAAAAAACTATAATTTCCTCTCTCAATCATTGTAATACTATCTTTAGCATATCCAAGCAGCAGATAAAATCGATTCGGTATAAAAAAAAGTTCCGTACGGCTTGGGAAGTGCGCCCCTCGTGCCGGTTGGCGGCAAAGGAGGGTAACCTGTGGCCAAGACAGTGCTTACAACTAGCCAGAGAACTTCTGTAAATCAGCAGTTCGGGCATTAAAGTAACTCCGGTTCCTTGATATCTTTGCTGGCATATCAGATTTTAGCACGTTCTATCTGACTATATTTCACCTTACCTGTAGTTTACCGAGAGGGTCACACACAAGAAAGGATATCCGGCTTATCGAATAACCAAATGAACGGATATTAACCGGATATGCGGATAACAAAAAGGATCGGATACTAAGCGGCTATTCAGATATTATTCGTATACAAAAATATCCGAATGTACGGATAGTCCCAGCCTTAATATACATACATATCTACATAGTGGATTCATGAAAATTCCAGTAGTGAAATTTCTTTCAAAACTTAAGCCACTTGAGAATTGCTATGTATGTAGTTGTGTACGCTTAAAAATTATTCTTTGTTTTTTATTTTATTCCACGATTTTATCATTTATTTGTGTAAACAAATGATAAAAATCTTACACAAAAAGGCATGCGCAACGAGTATTTGGGCAATACATATACATATGTATGTACATTTACATACATACATACATTGTCCCTTCAAGTGCAAACTTTGCCTAATGTGCACTTAAACGAAACATAAAACATCAAAATAAATGATAACGGAAAGAGTAAACAAAGTTGAAACAAAGGTATAAGCATTCATACACACATAAATCAACACGCATGCATTCATATCTACCCTGCAGTGAAAAGCCAAATCAGTCAGTAAAAATACTAGTTCATTAACTAGTATGTGCTAAAGCGATGGCCTACCAGATCGACAATAGCGAGGAACTTAAAGCATTCAGCGACATCTGCTTTTGCATTGTCAAAGCCAAAAATAAAATGCAGTTAATTCCTTTTCTTACAAATGTCGGCTGTGGCGTTGCGTGAAGACTACCGATTCTGGTTCTGAGATCGCAGGTTCGAGGCCGCTTGAAGGTGGTTTAGATTTTTCAAATTAAATCAATATAAGTAAAAATAATTATTTCAGTTTAAATATAATAAATAACAAATTTGAAAACCGAATTCCGTTGCAGAAAAACCTACATATGGAAATAAGTACTTGTGGTATAAAAAAAATATAAAGTTGAACTTTTTTTATTAAATTTAAAAATTACAATAAAAATCCTTAAAAATATCCCTGCACCATAACTTGAGCATTGGACGTCAGGAATACCACTCCAGTGCTTTGCTCTGTCGGCCATTCCGACTGTTGGAGCGCCGCGAGCAAAATGGCATACTTATGCTTTTCACGAGCGATGCATTGGCAGTCTATCTCATCACCTTGTATGATGCTACTAGTATTTCAACTAGTAGATGCTGATGTATAGCCTGACAATTGACCTTCCGTTGGACATCGGCATGTTAAAAATACCAGTCGCTAACATTGAAAAATAAATTCTAGTTCACAACTAGTAGCTTTCCCTGCAGGGTATGTACAGTATGTATCAACATATGTACATATATAAATATGTATGTATGAATTTTACTGTGCTTGCATTTCTTCAAAGCAAACTTGGCGCTCACATTTCATTTTTTATCGCTTTTCAGATGTTGTTGCAACGCGATTCACAGAAGGAATAAAAGCAATGCAACAAAGGTGGCGGCCGCAGCTGATGGCTAACACAAAACAAAAACAAAGTAAAATTTATACCACATACACAGGCAGACAAACAGTCAAACAGAAAGACAGAGCGTCTGTAAGAGCAGCAGCAGTGTCTGATTAATTTCTTCTGATAACAGGTTCATTTGCTTTGCATTGCTTTACGCACATAACAAACTACATGCAAAGTACTTAAGGCCAGATTGCATTGTGAATTTGTTGTTGTTGTTGTTCTTTTTTTTTTGTTTAAATTGTAGTTTAATTTGTAAATAGCGCGAGCACGCATGCGCAATGCACAATTACAGGGATTGTCTACGCATACATACATAAATGAGTACACGTTTGTACAGGGCCGTAGGGAGTTGGGCCGGGCCCTAGGAAAGATGCCGTCGGCAGGCCGCTTAAATTTAAATATTTTTTTTTTTTGGAAATCTATGAAATATTTTTTAGGCTTTTCGGTCAGCAAACATCGAGACGACGCATTCATAATAAATGCTACGAGCCACAACATTCAAATTTTTTGATAAAAAAAAATAGTTTTTGAAAATATTCTATCTGAAAAAAAATTTCAAAAAATCACAATGGCACAGAGTATTGCGCAATATTTAAGTAGCGCTACGGGGTGCACTTTAGAATAATTTAAGTTATGATTTTTGTTTACACCGAAGTTGAGTAAAATTATTACATTACAAATTTACAAATTTTTAAAATTTTTTTTTAGAATTTTTTTCGAGTATGCCGTTTTGAAGCCCATTAAATTCACTACTACTGCAAAATGGCGTTGATTTTTAATACTTTTTGTGCTGACGGCTTTTTGCACTTTTTTCTTATGAAAAAAATGCGCAAAACCGTTTTCAAAGAAAATTAAAAAAAATTAAGGCCAATTTTGCAATCGCTTAAAACTTGCACTCTATTATACTAAAAATTAATGGGCTACAAAACTACATACTCAAAAAAAATTTAAAAATTTGTAATGTACCATTTTACTCAACTTCGGCGTAAAAAAAGCATAACTCAAATTGTTGTAGAGTGCACCCCGTAATACTATACTTAAATATTGCGCACTACTCAGAGCCAACATTGTGATTTTTTTTCAATTTTTTTTTTGAGATGGCATATTTTCGAAAACTAATTTTTTCTATCAAAACATTTGTATGTGAAAAGTTTTTCAAGAAAAAAAAAAATTGTTTATTATATTTTTTGTTTTATAGAGAATTTTTATGTGTGCATGTGTGATTTTTTTTTTTGAATTTTTAAGAATGTATTAATTAAGCTCAAATTTAATATTTATTTATTATTTATGTTTATCCATCAACCCTAAAAATGTGAAACAAATCAAACACATGAAGTGTGAGCCCCGTCCATTTTGGTATGGAACACCCTATATGCACTTTTACACTCATCACGGAGACATATGTTTTTTTAGCCATATACATATGTATATGTAAGTATGTATGTACATAAACTTCTTCACTTTTGGCATTTTCTTCGAAGGTAT